AAAATCCGGCGCCCCCCCCCTTTTTTTTTTCTTTGACGTCTCTCATAGCTGTGCTGCCACAAATGCAGATGGCTAACCGCATTTTTAGCAGCCCACCACAAAAACGTGGCTTGGGGAGGGAAGATATGTGTAATTTGGTTGATTTAAAAATAAATTTCCCAGTGGTTTTCTCCTGGGACTTTGCAGCGCAGAACAGGGGAGCCACAGGGCTGAATGACTGCTTCCAAAAAACTGTAATGTAGACAAGGCAGGCCAGAAGAGATGGGCACTGTCATCGTAAGTCTAGATGCAGATAAGCATGACTTATACCGTGTTGTTTTTGCTGAAAGTTGCTGAAGCTTCAGTTGAGGGAGGAGTGCTGTGCAGCCTTGCTGTGGGACTTCAGGGATCGTGTAAAGCTAAATACGTGCTTAAGTACTTCTTGAATCAGCGCCTGAATCAATAATGTCAGAATTGCCAGCGCTGGAAGCCAACAAGATTCTGTGGTTTATACCCAGCACTTGGGAACTAAGTCTTGTATCAGCTGATAACTTTGGTGTCTCTAGGGGGAAGAGAGGCTTTTCAGTGTTGATGATTTAATATATTGAAAATAAACACAGACTACTTGAATTAGAAGTGTGTACAGCCTATTTCAGCAGACCTCTCTTGAGCAGGATATGCTGTGTTTCAATCCATCTCAGACAGCAAAGAAACAAAACCATCATCCTTTGAGAGAAATACTGTGAGGGTTTTTTTTAGCCCCTCACTCCAGTGTCTCAGTATCAGGAAGACAGGACTGCTCAGGTGCTTGCACGTGTGGGCCTCCAGTTTCTCTGATACCTCCAGGTTTTGTGAGCAAGTAGGAATTTAGCTTGCGTGTGGCTGCTGCACTTACTTCTTGTGTAGTACCAGCTCTTGCCTGTCATTTTAGAGGTGTATCTGAAGACATAAGCACTTGCTCCAGAAATGTAACAGTGCAAAAGTTTGGAATTGCTGGCATGAGAAGTCCTGTACAGTCTCTAGTCCCGCATTGCAATTTCTTCACAGCAGGTCTGACTCAAGAAGTCACTGTCCTTCTTCCTCCTTTTGGACACTGCTGTCGTCGTTCATGTGGCTGTTCTCTAAACCAGATGGGTGAATTTTTTCACTTTTTTGTGCGTGTGCCTTTCTTTAAAAAAGGGGCAATTACTCAGGTCTGATTTAGGGCACAAGTTTTCAGCAGTGTGAGCTGATGCGTGTGCTGCCTTGCGTGCCCATCTCTTCTCCACAGGTTCCTGTCCTCACCCTCGCATTCGTGCTTGTTCTCGAGACCAAACGTGAGCAGTTCAGGGAGCCGACCTGGTAAAATCTAACCAGTGACATTCAGGAGAGGAGTTTTAGGAGGGATCAGCAGCCTGAGCGGGTCACCATGCGGTCGTGTGCGAAGGAACGTTCAGTGCAAAGCAGAGGTGGGAGCTCGTGGTCAGAGATGGGTGCGAGTGTGACCACAGCAGCAGGCTGCAAGGAGCTAGGATTGCCTGGGGCCTGCCTTGGAGCACAGGCACGCGGAAAGCTGGATCAGCACAGGCGAAAGGCAGTAAATGGGACAGAGGTAAAAAGAAAGGGAGATAAAAACTAGGGGGAGAGTGGGAGCCCCTTGGTGTGATGTGCTGCCTAGGGACCACAATCCATAGGTAATGCAGAAGCACAGTTTGCTGTCTGTGGTTTTAGGTTGTTGGAGTGCTTGTGTGACTGAAGAGTTTTTGTTTGCTTGTTTTTTGACGTTACTGAGAGTAACTGTGTGCAGGGCCGAAAATCCATCTGCCTTCGTCCAAGTTGCAGCCGAGTTTGTAACAGTGAGGAAAGAGGGTGTCCGTGCCTGTGAATGGAGGGGATATGGCCCTGGAGTGAGCCGCAGGAAACGTGGAGCTTGCGTGGACGCTGTCGCAGGATAATCTTTCGGGAGCGAGGTGCCAGTGGTTTACCTGGTGCAGCGGGCCCTGGCTTATAACTTTGAAACACTGAGCAGCAAGAGTTGTGCCACAGGAGGTCGATAACTTTAAATTAATTTCTTACATTTCTTAACTGTGAAGGACAGTTTTATTATTATTTCACAGTCTGAGTTGTTCGTCAGTCCCGAAAGACATCGCTACCGAAAACGTTTGCGGGCCCCGCTAGCCAGAAGAGCCTTTGAGGCAGCAGCAGGGCAGTGCGGGCAGAGCTGGCCGCCCCGCTGGGCGCTGCGGCCGGGCCAGCAGGGAAAGGGGTGCCGCAGTGCCATCGTGGCCCCTCTGTGCCGGTTTGGGGCCAGGGCAGCCGGTGCCAGCTGGCATGGGGGAAAGGAGCCCCAGGTGGCTCTCATTTACACACAGAGCTGAGACTGGGCTCAGCAACTGAGGGATGTAGCTGGTTTCCAGATAGCTTTGTTCTCTGGTTTCTCCATCCTGTGGCTCACTGAAACCGGCTGCCTGGCCTCAAGCTTTTCTTTGGACTCTGTTGAATATAAAAAGATAGTCCATGGCACCTTGATATTTTGAAATGCTCTTTTTCAGTATTTTATGTGATTAAAGATGAGAAGGAACTGATACAGCCAACTACAAAACACCCATACACCAAACACCTAAATCTCTTCATTTATTCATTTATTCATTTAAATCTCAGGTAATTCAGTACCTCTTACTGAAACTTTGAATGAGTGGGAATTGGTTGCCATTTGGATTGCTGGGTCAGGGCAAGGCTCGAGTGAAGTCCTGTGATTGTGTAAAACTGTTAGATTGCATTTTCTGTAAAGCTATGCTATATGGTATTTTGCTGTTGTCGTTTGACCACATGAATGTTATTTTTATTCAGCAGAAGATTGTCTGGCTCAGTGTGATAATGACTGCAAAGCTTACTGCTGCGATGGGACTACTCCCTACTGCTGTTCGTATTATGCCTACATTGGGAATGTCCTTTCGTAAGTATATTTACTCTTTAGAGAAAACTGATGCCCTGTGTTCATGAACTCAATGTAAAACCAGGTTGCTGAAAAATGTATTTTGGCAATAAACAGTGGCAGGATTTGGTTTTTTTTGAAGTTTGTTTGTTTCCCCCCCCCACCCCTTGCTGGTAACAAATGTTGCTAGTCCTGTAGTCTCATGTTTAATGTCTTTTTAAAGCATGTTTATTCAGATATGTGCTAAAATTAAGGCTATGTCCTTAACTCTGTACACTGATACGTAGTATCATTAGAGCTTATTTCCACAAACTGAGAACTTTGTTTCAAGCTCTTCAAATCAAGAGGGCTATGAATAGGAATCTTGTACTTCTTTGTTGAAAGGTTGTGTTACAGCCTACAGTCAAAGCACTATTCAAATGACCTGGATTTGAGATTTTTTTTTCCCTTTGAGTGCTCTTTGTTTTCTTTTCATTGACTTTTTTGTTTTTGTTAAGTGATCTTCTGTTTTTTTGTGGAATTTATTGAATGTATTCTGTGTGAGGGTAATCTGGTCCTTTAACCCTGTGGTATGAATAGCACGTTGCGCAGTGTTTAACAAAAAAAAAAAACCAGCAGATGAAACAGGTGGGTTTGAATATTTCCTATGCAGAGAAAAAATTGGAGTAACTGTTCATTAAATACATAGACTCCAGCGGAGATGTTAACTCAAGTCTGTTTCGATATTCTCTTCAGAGAAACCTAGCGTGCTTGCCAGCACATGATTAATTTAAATGGCAGCCCATAAGTATTACATTCATGTGCGAGGATAAACCTAAACAGAACATGCAGTATTATTCTTCAAGACAGGGCACCTTACCATCTGTTTTGCCAAACCCCTCAGTAATTTCCTTAACCTTTAGCATGCAGTCAGTGACGTATTTTTGTTTTGTATTCTTGACGAAAAGCAGAGTAGGAAAAAGAAGTATGTCTTATGGACTGCACAGTGCTCGGTGACGAGTGAATGGGAAGGTGGTGGTTGCTTTTTCTAGAAAAGGCTCCTCTGTTGCAGGCTTTATTTTAGCCACGGTACCTGGGGAACATGTTAGTCTTCCCTTCAGCATATTCTGCAGCACTTTGAAGGAGTAGTCATAGTGATGGTATTTTAATACTGAATTGATCCACAGCTTTTAAAGCAGATCAGACACTTCCTGGGCTAAAGTAAATAAAATGATGATAGAGCATCAGAATCCTTCATCCCTCTGGAAATAAAAGAGCATATATTTAAGATTGCCTGTTACTGTTGGAGAATGACAAGTGATTTTTGCTCTGGCCTAGGGAATGTCTGCTTTGATGTTTTTTGTTTTTTTCTTTTCTCATTCCAAGATTGCTTTCCCATTTAGATGTGTGAAAAGAGGTGCTGTTTTTTGAATACCTTATTCTAGCTCATATGTGCTTAGGAATGATGAACATGATAGCATAGGATATCCCATTATAAGAAACAGGCTTCCTACAAAGCAACAAAGCAGGCAGTTTCATCTCCCACTTCCACATGAACATCCTTAGCATTTGTCTAGCCTAATGTCAGAGCTGTGCTTTGTAAAGGATCGGCCAGGGCATTTTTTACAGTAGCCACCAAAATGTTCAGATCACGCCTTCAGCATCGGGTTCTTCCTTAGTCTTGTATGTTTATTTAACAAATATAAACAGCTATTGAATTTGGGCTGGGGTGTGAGTGGTGCTGGCGCGCTGGAAAGTTTTGTGTGTATTTGGATGATTTTCAACATTGGAGTGGCTCTCTGCAAGTGCTGTTTGTCACAGCTTATCTTGAAGAAGACATTTGATTCTTCTCATTTTTTATGGTTAAGTACTCCGTTTCATAGCCTCAAAGGCCAGTCAGGAGTCACTATTCTCCTGTGACCTCACATTTTGCATGATCAAGCCATAACTTTTTTTCCCTAGACGCTGTATTGGGTGTGTCTTCTATAAACATGTGTAATCTCATTTTGTTCAGGCATTAATGAGTTGACCATCTGCCCTGGTAAGCTGTTCTATAGTTAGTTTTCCTCACGCTGCCAGGAAATTTCACCTATAATGAATCTGAAATTCTTAATGTCAGCTCTTAGTTTATCTACGAGTTTGAAATGTGGCCCTAAGTAGTCATCATGACAGCTCTCAACCTTATCGCTGAGCTGGATGAACTCTGTCAGCTTCACATGTTAGATTTGCTTGGTTTTGCTTTGCCCTGCCCATGGGTCAACTCTTTGGCCTTCCTTTGAGCTCCTTCTAGTATTTTCATTTCCTTCTGAAAGTGGGACTAGCAGAGCTGAGCACAGGATTTTGGCACAGGTCTTGCTAGGATTATTTTTTTCTATATCTTTGTTTGAGTGTCTATTTTGAAGCAGTTATCTATGATGATCACAGAAGATAGAGCTGGAACAAATTATAAGTTCATTTGTAAGTCTTTAAGTCACCCTTTCCGAAGCATGTCTGCCGCTTCAAACTTGCTGATTGTTCTTTGTTAGGGGTACTACTTTGCATTCAGTTGTATTACAAAACATGTTTGTGGATCGTGGCTTTAACTATGCTGATGAGATTGCTTCATAACAATAACCTTCTCTCTTTTTTTTTATTTTCCACCGTATTGGTCTTTATTTTATGTGCAAACTGTAGGAGACAAAGTTTCTTCTCATTTCCTCACCCTCGAATAACAAACTTATTAAATTGCTTCAGAAGAAGATGTGATCTTTGGGATCTGGAAATCCCCACTAGTGACGTACCTGCTTGCTGATGTCTTTCTGTGAGCAACTCTATGCTGAAATCTTTTGAAGAATCATTTTTAATCTAACAAAATATGCACCCTGATAATTCCTTATAATGTTTTTCTTTAAATCTGTCTGCAACAAACAATGGACTTGATCAGCGCTGATGCTTTTAAAAGTGCCTTTTTACTGTCTTAAACACTGATAGTAGTCCTTAGTAGAGCCTTTCATTGGCTCCTCTACTTCTTTAGAGGTTGCCTATGCTTCTTAATTTGTTTACCACCAATTTATCTCCCCTCTCCATTATTTATAAATCTGAATGTTTTTCTGCAGTTTCTGCTTTTTATCTTGTCCGAGATTTTTTTTTTAAACCAGTGAAACTCTGCCTTGCAGTTTTGGAAAAGCCTTTTGGTGCCCAGTAGGTTCTCTCTGAGCAATCTCTGTTTTGCTTTCTGCCTCTCACTCTACTGTTTCTAGTCCTGCATGCTGGCAATTGTACAAACAGTATATAAGCACTGGGCAATAATGTATATTTATATGTGACGCAGTTATATTACAGAGTTATATTTACATATGACCTTAAATCAAAGTCAGTGCAAGTAGATCATGATCATTGACATTTAGGCAGCTTGTAGCTTCTAGGTCATGAATTAACTCTCTTCACTCAGTAAAATGAGGTTCAACATTGAGATAGCCCGTGTAGTATTCTGGAGTTTTCTATTTTAAGAAATCATCATCTTTTTAGGACACCAGGAAATTTTTTCTTTAGTCACATGAGGTTTTCAGCAAACATCCTCCAGGCTGTGTGCATCTGCGATTAGCTTGCTTTTCTTTCTGCCCATGAAGAACAGATGCTAGTGATCAGCTCACTCTAATATTAGGATTTAGAGGCATGTAAGAGATGCTCCTCTAACTCCATCTTTAGTTGGAGTAGTTAGAGATGTAATCTATAAACATTCAAGGTCTGTGTTTGAGTCATCTGTAATCCCATGAGTGTCTGTAATGTAAAGTAACACATCCTTCCTCCTCCTCCTGCTCCCTTTTTTCATGATACCCTTTCAGAGCAAGTTGTTACAACGCTAATGTTCCAGTTATATTTCCCTTCCCACTAGTTTTCAATAGTTCTAGCCTGTCATTATTTCCTCTGATGCATATGCATTTCCTCTTGTTTATTTGCTGGGCACCTAGTGCTCAATAGATGTTCTTCTAAAAATATTTTTCCTTGCACAAATTACAGATTTATGTTTGGATTTGTGCAGCATTAATGGAGCTGTTTCTATGAAATGAATGACAAAGTGCAGAGATGCTGGAGTGGTCGAGTGATTCCTCCTGTCCAGCTTTTCACTCCCCATCAGAAGAAAGCTTGACAGCACCCTTTGCAGCCTTCCTGCATCGTCCCAGCTCTTTGAGTCAAGAGACTCAAAATTCCCCTCCTCCTCAGAAGCTACTTTCTAAGCTACTGGGTCACTTGAGACTTCCATCAATTGCCCTGTGCTTCCTCTGCCTCAGTAGCTTGCTACCATGGTAGGGACTGAAAAAAGTATGCTCCTCTCTTTCCAGAGCAGATGCGTCTGTGTTGCCCGCAGCAAAAGTATCTCCCAATAACCAGCCAATGTGGTTTTGCCATCTGTCCTCTGGTGGAGTTGGAGAAGGTCTGGTTACTCTGCCTTGAGTCCCAGAGCTCCTTAGTGGTGGGAGTCAGTATGAAAGGGGTTCTTTCTCCAGATCCCAAATTTGTGTGCGTGAGTGTCTGATATTATGCTCTTTGCATTTTTTTGTGCCTTATGTTTATTGTGGCCCGTATGTAGCTTTTAGGCTGCAGGGAGCTCTCTGGGAGGAGATGTCAGTAGTTGTGTGCTGTCAAGGGCAGTTCTGGATGCCACCTTGGCATTTTCATTCTTGCCTGCAGGTATGAGTTGATGTGAAATCCTCCCAGATCTAGGTGAATAATGGAAAGGAGAGGGCAAAGTAAACAAACTGTTCTTTTACATGAATGCTACTGGACCAGTTGAATATTCAGCAGAAATGAAGGGACCCAGATTTGACCCACAGTACTTAGGAAAGCTCATTGATAGATGCTCAGCCATACTGTGATCGGTCTATGTTTTCCTGGATAACTCTTTAAGGGGGAGAAACTGGAATATTAACTTAAACCAAAGAAGAAAGCTAAGATGCAGTGATGATGCGTTATATTGCAGTGTAGGAAGTTTCTTGGTAAATATCTTCAGAATGACTTAGTCTAGGGTAACTTTTGTTTAAAAATATACAACACATGATTCC